TAATGTTTCGCATTTTAAGTATATGAAAATTATGTTTGGTAACACCTCGAGATGTGTGAAATTTTGGGGGCGTTACAGACGGTAAATGTCTTCCAAGATATGACGAATTTCGTCTTTTACAAAAGTAGTATAACAATTAGTAAGAGCTCTAGTGAACTCAACTTTATGTTTCATACTCGAAATACAGAAGTAGAATGTAGAGAGAAGGGAAATTCAAAGCTAGAGTTATTGAATTTGAATGGATTAATTTTTCTGGCAGAAAGATAGGCTATTTATAAATTGTTCGTAACAATTCAAACAACATAAAAGCCTCTTCAAGAATAGTGGTGACCGTTCAGATACTTTTTCAAATGAACAAAGGTGTTTTTGTCCAAATCAAAAATCGACGTTTGTTATAATCGATCACATATGTCGATTATAGTAAACATGTGTATGTTATACAAACAAACATTGGTTACACCCAGAAAAATTCCGCAGAAACAGCCAACTGTTCGAATTTTAGACTGTTAAAAATAATTTCATCTAGTATCCAAAGAATTTGATTAATTATGATTTGGCCTAAAAATATATATGCAAGACAAAGTGTTATGCATCGAGAATGTTCATCCCATTCAGCACGACAAGGTCGTCAACAGCTAGATGTGTGGCTCATTTTATCAGAGTCTACTAATGATGTGATCATATGCATGTGCTTTCTATCATCCTACCCATAAGTGTACATGTGTGCCGATTGTTTAGACTTGTCGGCCTAAGAAGGAAAAGAAGGTTGCCTTGAGGCGTGGAACGTCGATATCTAAATTTATGATATATGAAAGTTGGTGACAGAGCAGGACCGCTCAAATGTGCGTTGTTGGTTATAGAAGATCAATGGCGTGCATTTTTGTGGAAAAAAGATTTTGGACCACAAACATATTGGTAAGGAATCGAAACTAATGAAGAACGCTTCGGTAATGTATGTGAATGGCACGCGTTGCGCGAATGTGTCTACATGCTTTATCAAGTTTGTTTCGTGGAGCACACATTGCAGAGCACAATGATGGAGATTGTGTATTTGCTTCGACATGTGTTGTGGTGCTGAGGTTGATAGCCGTCCACTCGAAGAACTAATGTTTATGGGGGCATATGATGAAAATTGGTAGCGGATGAGGTATATGCAGAGTTAATATGGGTAGATGTGCGAGGTAGAAATGTATAGATCAAGGGCGGAGCCAGGAAAATAGGTTGCAGAGGGTTGAAATTTAAAAAAAAAAAAATATCAGGGAACTCATGCCATAAGAGATGCTCCATGCCACACCAGATATAGTTTAAAAGGCTAAGCTTATGACACTAATGACAAAGTGAGTCATATATATAACTAAGTATAAACATATCAATCCTTAAAATGTCTTACTAAATCTTCGTAGCTTTTCTTGGTAAATAAAAAATATTGACACCTCCCTAGAAAATACAAAATGTGCGATAGGATGATAAACATGAACAAATGATGTATATCCCACCAACAAAAAATTACGAAAAACCTATTTGCACTATTACGAGACTCAAGGCCTAAAAAGAACAACAAATCATTCCAATTATTAAAGGTTTTTAATCAAAATACACGGTTCTAAAAATATTATCTAATATGGGCATTAGTCTTCTATATCTACACATTTAAATTCTACCTGGGAAAAACCGACCAAGAATATCG